TTATACATATCTTGATAATATATAATAGACAAAAAAGGCTAAAACCCATCTACATATATAAACATGCCAAATATGACTGTTTGGTTATGTGTGTGTCAGGATAGGAGCAATATTTGAACTTTTTGCTTATTATTTTTGGCAAAAGCTGCTTTTGAATACGACCATAGAGTAAAAAAATGAACAACAACTGTTAGATACTTATAGTGCAAAAGGTGTTTACCCCTTTGGTGCTGTTTATTAGCAAAATAATGCTCGTTGAAAGTCTAGCGCAAGGCGATCAATGATACATTGAAGGTATGAACTACCGTGCGCGAATGCGAATTTCCGATGGCTTCAATACATATATTTCTAGTAGAGGCTAAAAAAATTCATGATTTCAAATAAATCACGAGTGAATGAACAACAAACTGCCTTTTTACTTTATTGACCACCGAGTTATGCATAAGAAGAGGAATATTACAAGCCTTAAGCTTTTGTCTGTGCGTCTTTTAATCAGTTTTCAGTAGTTAGTTTTAGCATTATGATATTCAATTGGATGAACAAATATCAATGGAAATGATTTTGTTATTAAAGGTCACTTTAGAATAATTGTATAAATAAAATTTATTGCGTTTACTACGCAATTTTACTTACTTTTGCTATTACAAATGTCTAAAATTTATGGATCATAACGTGGAATACATTAAAATTTTAGTAACAGTGTTAAATGAATTGTAATTAAAACTTAATATTGTTAAATATTCATTTCCAATGACAAATGTCACAATATGTTTAGGCTCCTTAAATAACTTTCGATGAACTGTTGTTGGAGCAAAAATCGTCACAATTGTCGAGTACAGTTAAATACGAATATAGAATATGATAATAAACGAAATCCATTCCTTAAAAGTAGTGTTTTTCATTAATAAGATCTTAAAAAAATAATTCCTTTTCTTAGAAAAAAAAAAAGGAATATATTCACCTATTATTATATAGTGCCGTTGGTTTAGATATTAGTTGGTTCTTTTTTTTTTCGAGAATATTAATTTATATTTTGTTTTTGGCGTAATTTTTTATACTAGTTTTAAGTAATAGATTAGTGTATATAAATTGGGATCAGTGGGGTTACTCTTGAAATTAATTACAATAAATCGATATTAAATTTGAGATGTACCGCACTCTCGAACTGCAATACTAGCGATGTAATTAATGGTTGCATATAGTTCTGATAGATACATTTTAGTGTAACTTGCCAATTGGAACGATTTGGGATCGATTTAAACTATTGTAAATCGATCACAATTATAACCTACGAGTAATTCCTCACTGTTGTTACATGAGTGCAGTATAAAACATTGGCAATAGATTGGTTTAATATTGATATTAGATTCAAGAGTAGACCGGCATAATGACGATTAAATAACAGAGTTGACCTAATCTAAAGATAATGCAGTATGAAGCAATCTTGGGTATATATTTACCAAATTAATGTACTTTATATTATTTTAAAACATATACATATATCTGCACACGATATGATATTAAACAGTGATTCATTATTACAGAATCACTTTTCAATATGGTACGATAATGTCGTGTTCTGAATACTAAAAACTTATTAGTATTCCGAGTACAACATTAACGTTATGATATCTGGTAATAATTACTTACGTGACTGCGCGAATCTAAAAGTAAGAGTAAGTTTTGTAGCGTGCATATGTTTCACCTTATCTCGCAATGTATACAAGCCATTTCGATAAACGAGGTTGCATTACACTGGAATATACTGAATCGTTATTTATGCTTGTTATATTTTTATTTTTTTAAATCACTTTAATGAATGAGAAATAAGCTGTTTAATCTGCTCTACGTGATGGAAAATTGTAATGGCACAACTTAATGACATAATTATTAATTACCGCAGTTTTATTGTAACTCGTCACTTTTCCTATAGGTGTAAGAAAGTCTGTGTGCGGTCACTGAAGTAGTTGAAACGTTTTTAGTAGAAGTATATAAAATAGAATAGGTAACAGTCAGAAATACTGTGTCCATTTAACTTGTTATTATAAACATAATCGACTTTTATTTTCAGACTAAATCATAACAGCTAGATTATGTTTGTGGTCAAATCTATATATCCACTGTATTGTATCGTAATGATTTGCTCATGTTAATAAGAAAAAAAATCTATCCGTGCGTAAATATTCATTTCAGTGCGTTAAAGGACGGAACTGATTAAAATATCATTACCAGAGAGAGACTTTGTACAAAAGTCGTTTGCTTGGGTAACTTTGTCCCATTTTTTTTTTTTTTTGAAGGGTGATAATGGAATGGTAACCCCGCCTGCGCTAATGGGATACGCTGGCGGAGCACCAGTGAACGGTGATCGATGACAATAAAAACAGGCCAGTTAGCCCATCATGATGAATCCATCAAGAATTAACCATGATAGTTTCCAGGGAGAACCACGAGGAGGTCGACCTGGTTGGGTATATTGCTAGCAATGAGATTTTCAATCTCCATTACTAACCCCTTTCCCCCCTAACTTTGTCCCATTCGTGTTTCTACCGTAAAGCAGTTGTGTTTATATGGCTGTGTTTCGGTTTGAAGGGTGAGATATGGCAGTAAATTTACAGGGTAAAGAGGAATAACACTTGAGTCTTTAAGAATGACAACGCATGGGCGGTATCATGGGCGAAACAGTATACTGATGTCTATAGGCGATGGTTATCACTTTTCATCAGGTGGGCCGTCAGCTTGTTTGCCATTCTAAGTTGTATAAAAAATATTTATTGTCGGTTTAAACATGTAATAAACAATCAAATATCTTTACAAACTTCCACATTTACGTTATTAATAAAAATCAACTGCCTTATCTTTTAGAAAACAACGTGCGCATAGTGTTGAGTGGTAAACATAGATGAAAATAATGAATTTACTTATTAGGTATTTACTCGAGGAAAATATACAAAACTCCACCAAATTAACTACAGAACTACTCGATGTTTGAACTACTTACAAGGCGGTAAACTTAAAACGTACGACGTCATATTATTATTACGATTACAACTTTACTTATTTTATTCAGAACTGTAAGTTTCGCCGATACCGACTAAGGGCAGAGGTCAAAAACAATATTAGTAATATCAACAAAACTTGAATGACGATTGTAATAAACAAACCGTTAGTTCGATATATGTATCGTGAAACATGCATTATTATCGCTTTTACCGTTAAAGATCTAGTTTCCTCATTTTGTTTTCCTTAATCTTGACTATGTACTAACATGTATGTATGTATTAACAGACCCTTTAATTACATATTGAGTGAAATGTTTATAGTAGTGGAATTTCCGCAAAGAAACATAGGTTATATTTTTTTATATTTCCGTTAAGGATTTTTAGGTCGTAAAATGACATAAATTTTGAGCCTTTTATATATAACTTTACAGTTGGACATGGTGTTAGTGTTAGTACAGAAGTAATAAACTTTGTGTCGTTTTTCGACTTATGTAATTTTTGGAAAAATGTTCATTGTCATTAGTTGATAACGTTTTCAAAGGATGATAATGATTTTTATTTTATTCTGTTTTATAGGTATAAATTTAAAAATATAATTAGTTAAGTAATACGCATTTGTAGTATGATGTTTTTAGCTTTTGAAGAAGAATGCGTATTGCGTAAGCAAATCTGAATTGTTTACAATAAATAGATACATGTGTATCTGTTATTTTCAACCAACTTTCAAAAGAAGGAAAATGAATCAATTGTAGAATGTTAATTTTAATTTTTTTTTTCATTTATATATTTATATGTGTAATTGCAATTTTAAAGATTTTTATTTATTTATATACATATTTTATATATATATATATATATATATATATATATATATATATATATATATATATATATATATATATATATATATATATATATATATATAAAACCTACCAAATTAACTACAGAACTTTTACCTGCATTTTCGTCTGCGTCTACATTTTTCGTATAAAAAGTAGCCTATATACGTTTCCATCCCTTACAACATGGTATACTAAATTTCATAGCGATTAGTTAAGCCATTAAGACATTATATATGATAATAAACAAACAAACTCACTTTAACATTTTATAATATAAGTAAGGATGGTTTTTCAGATGGGCATACATAATACAGAGTTATGTATCTAAAACTGAGAATTTTATGATTATTTCTTTATTTTGAAGGTAAAATATGATAAAAGGCATCTATTGATTTAATAATTTACAATTACTTCCAAAATAATGATGCCTCACGTAAAGAGAACGAAAAAAGAAAAAAAAAATAAAGTAAGTAATATACTGATCACGTGTTCGAAATAGCCAAATGAAAAGATCCAAATAGATAGTGTTATCCAACGTCATGGTACATCGGAAGTGTTACCATATATCATCTATTTCATTTAATGATATGACGAGACCGATTTGGCTTTCTTTCTTAGTCGAACGGCAAAACTAGAAAAACAACAATTTATATCCTAAAATCTGGAAAATGATTTTGTATTACTAACAACAATTCTCAAAATTTAAGTACCAAATATCACATTTTTAATATTTTTAATGAACGTCAAAGGTTTCTATTCTAATGAACTAGACAGACGCCAATGTGATTGATGTTTTGTTTAATATTTACAGTACTATTAACGTTTATATTTTACAATCATTAGGCGTAACCATAATGAGTATAGTTCCAGAGGTTACAAGATTACTATCGCAATATGACAAGCCGAAATAATAAGAGTTAAGTAGATACTTCTATAGAATCATAGTCTTCGAATGCATTAATAACAGATTCAAACTGTATAGTTTAGTTCTGTCACACTACCTACTACAGATAGTAGAACAAAATAGACTTTTTTGTTACAATATGAATATTTTAGTTTACATTTAATGAATCTAAATATAAATATAATTTTGTTCGAAGAGAGACGCTACTGACACCTTATGCATGGAAATAAAATACGCTTCTTTATACTTACTTACATATAAAATTATTTATTGAACATTTTATCCGCAGATTTCACTGTTGGCGAGAATTTAAATGGACCTTTATTGAAAAGTCTTTTATCGCAATGAAGTTTACATTGCAATTTGTAGGTATATTTGTAAAATGCAACTTACTTTATGTAAATATCTCGTATAAGTTTATGAAGTAGGTATTTTAGGTATTGAAGTTTCTGATCGTTTACGTATCACATTTCATTTGTTAATAGTATCTTCAAGTTATCTTATTATCTTTTCTAAACATTATATTTTTCTGTATATTTCATGTATATAAATATTTATTCTTAATTTACGAGTAATTTTATAATAACAAGCTTAATAGACTGTTCGATAAGGTCTAATGGTATGTAATCATTAGTTTTCATTCCATTTTATCCATGAAACATCCTTTAAAGTTATTTTAACTGTTATATAAATGTTTTGTTTTGTTATAATATCTGTTTTAGTTCCTTATAATGAATAAGAAAGTAAGAATCCGATGCATTACCAATTTTTTACATCTTCAGCATGTGCTAAAACACTGTTTTAAGAGAAAAAGGGCAATACACTAATGCAAGGAAAGTTTGAAATACTAAATTATCCAACAAGCGCTGTAACGGTGTGGCTACGTCCTCTTATAGTGAGATCTCCGTTTAAGATTGGGTCGTGAGTTGATAAGTAATGAAAAATTTTGCTATATAAAAGAGGAAAGAATAGTAGACCACAAGAAGGAAACTATCTTACAGCTTTATTATAGAATTAGTTGTTAGGGATGGGATATTATCTTCATATAATACGATTTTCTGATAATAATTTATCATTATCATAAACTTTTTTTTCAAAAATCAACATAATTACAATTACTAGATACAATAATCAAAATTGAAAATATTCCGTTAATTTTTTGCATCAGAACTGTAATGAGACAGGTTATCGATCACAGCCTACACGGTATGAGACACAACAACAAATGATGGGTTATCGATACTTCACCTGTATTTGTAGGTATGTATTGTTTACGCTAATACATAAATAAATTTTAATCATATCTATGTATAGTTATATTGTTTTTCCTTTATCCTTCTTGAATACTTATTTAGATTATAATTTTCGGCTAAAAATACCGTTGTTAGTCATTTAAGGATCTCTATTATTGTAGTAACTATATATATGTTCCATTATTAGGTTATTTATTTACTAGCTATTTCCGGTGTCTTTGTTTACATAAATCAGTATATAAAGTATCCTATGTGCTACGTTAGGATATAGCCTACTTGTACACTAAATATCATTCAAATCCATTTAGTAGTTTTTGCGTGAAAGACTAACAAACATCCATCTATCCATTGTTACAAACTTTTGAATCTATAATATTAATAGGTATTACCTAATGTTATATTAATATATACAAATATCTGTTAGTTCTTTTTATTCTTTTTAATAGGTACACTACATAATCCCATTGTTACGGAAAAATCTCCCCTAGTTTATTCCATTTTAAATGATAGGATATTAATAAAACACTTAAAAATCGCTGCAATATAAACTCACCCTTAGTTTTCCTTTCGGTTTTTCCGCGTGAGTGTGGTTCCTTTTCCTTATAGCTCCCATATCAATCACACACAATGACTGGACTTTCGAACATCAGACTGACCGGTAGGTTAATGTTTTATCGTAACACATAGCACTCTGTCAAATATATAATAATATGATATTGCACTTAATATTTCTGTTTTTTCTAAATCACACATTACGGATAGATCGTAAAGTTTGTATAAATTGAAACCACTTTATAATATGCATGTACTATTAGAAATATCAGATTCGAAATAAAGGACGTTCCTCAAAAAAGCAGCGTATAAGTTTCACAATCGGTACCCATACGTGAAAATCCCACGTTTCCCGCGCGGCGCGTGTTTCGTACGTGAGTGACGTGAGAAACGTGTGCGTCCCGCGGCCGTACCGTAGTTCGTACCAACTTGATATAGAGTGGCCATCCTCCGAATCACGTTCCCGCCTCCGGGCTCTACACGCTCGCGCCGCACCCCACCGCGCGCCTCTGTCTACCCTCCCACGCTTGCTGATACACTATACAGGGTGAAATTGAAGTCGTTAACCGTACGTAAAAATAAACCTTCTTATATTTAAGGATAGATACTTCGTGAATCAAAAATTTTAAAACGACGAAAACTTTAGCCTTTCATACTAACTTAATAGTTGAACGTTCTGTGTTACTATGGGAGGACATATTTGGTCGTTTATAATTAAAAAAATCGAAACATATTAGTTTTAATCTACGAATAAGAATTAGGGTTAATGAATAGCAATATATATACAATAACATACATACATATATTGGCCCAATAAACGATATTAAATATCGGTTAACCAATATATCTATATAATATCTAAACGTATATAATCCAAATTATATACATATCCGACTGGTATAGGCGGTATCGAAGTAGGGATGACCTTTTTCCGTCATCAATATTCAGAGGAACCCAATATATAGATTACCGATACCGGTACCAATATTATCCATCCCTAGTAAGAATTCTCCCTTAAGAGGACCATAATAAATACGATTTTACCCTGTATACATAATTGTATACATAACATTCGCACCCTTCTGACTAGTTTCAATTAATGGCCGTGTAAAACGACAGCTTTGTCAATAATCCTTCGGATTTGCTTACAAATTACTTAAAAGATCTTTAAGTAGTAAGTAAGGACAACCATTCCATTTATTGTACGGCTCGCGCTGGAATCACTAAAGGCTAATTAGTACTGACTAGTTCTCAATAAATGTCGTTGTTACATCGAAGCTGCATACAAATTGTCACTGCTCTGCGCGATGGAGTTTCTTTATTTGCATAGTTTGTTATCCATTTGTACTATTACGTACTATCATAAGCTCTCATAAGCATAAATGTTTCGAAGTAAATTGATCCTTCATTCCCATTAAGAGGTAGGGTAAATCAACTGAGTATGTAAATCTTCTTGCTGATATAAATATTCGATTTAAATTTTTTTTTCATGTATATTATTTTAATTATTAGTTTCAATCTATTACAATTATCTTCTTGCATCATGTTAATACAAGTTGAGTAGTCTCAATTTATTTAGCATTAATATAAATCTACGTGGTTTCTGAATGCTAATGTAACATATTTTCTGTAATTCTGAATTTTTATAATAATAAATAAATAAAAAAAATGTTGTATGAAAAAGGTTCTTATTGTATCTGTACCTAATACCTACATATAAATTTATTGATAATCAAGAGTGTTTTACGCTTCAATTTGAGATCATAAATATGTTGAAATATCCCAACATCGCGACGGGTGCAGCGGTAAGCACCCATTACCTTGTCTGTCAATGGCTGCAAACGATTCGCTATCTAGCTAGTATTTATCTTGAGTATTTATATATCATCATAATTCTAAGTTATGCAAGGTATTTGTGTCAGAATGCATATAGTAACCACCGAAGAAAATTGCCACCAATAAATTCCTTGCTGCATCTATCATTTATTTTAAAATACCTATTTAGGGTCGATGTTGTTTGATGAGAATCAAATGCTAGTCGCATGGAAGTAAAAAGCAATGAAAAACAACTAAAAATAAAGAACATTTGCAAAATTTTCAAATGACGAAGACACTATTTCATGCTTGTTTCAGTCAAGATTCTTGAAAATAATTTGGAAAAATCCGTAAAATCTATAATAACAAAGTACAAAAACTTTAAGCAATACTTACTTTCTCAATTTATAAAATATATCGAGCGAAGAATTTCAAATCAATGAGTTTCTGACCCGTTTTTAAAAAAAAATTTTCTTCAAAGTTGCCACTATTTTATTAACAGATATTTATGGGCTAAGACAACAAACTGGACGCAACTGTATTTCATCATTTGTAATTGCTGTATTATTTCAGTATAAAATGCAATAGTATTAGTTTAGAATGAAAACAAGTACATAGCAAGGCATTTACTATATTTTAACAACCAGGAAAGAACCCTTTTATATTCCATTTATATTTTATCGAATATGTCAAAATAAGAGGTATCATACACTGGAATTGTTCCCCCTATGCCTATATACTACGGATATATACTAAGCATGGCTTGAAATGTATTTTTGTTTTTAAGCAACATCAAAATGCGGTAGGTTTCAATAAGCTTGTACATTTAGTACTTGTACGTACTACGAGATATCTAGGCTAATTTTTAAACGATTTTGATAAATTCTTTTAATCCACTACTGGTTACAGGAAGTATCATAAGAAGAGGACATAGATTATTGTTTATAATCACAATGGCCAGCCACCTGGTATATGATTTTATTTTAAGTTTTTCTTTTACTGTATTGTGCTTTGTTATCTTACTCACTTCTTACGACATCTTTGGCACGAGGAGCGGTGATACAGTGAATTGTTTTTCTGTCACGACAACATTGCTTCCGATATAAGTGATGTAGAGAGTCAAGGCACGAGGATAGGCAGTTCCCACAACCCGATAAGCATAACGTGCCGCACAGGTCGTGTACAATTAAAATATTACAGTGCACTTGTTGCGTATGCGCACAGCACACTAGGCTGCAGTGAAATACTATGCCCATTTTAACAATGTTAGCTTTCGACAATTATCAACGTGATTTATTTATTACATATGTCGGCAGCATGTACAAGGAAACTAGATTATATTAACCACATGCAAAATATGTATGATATTTGCCGTTTGTTGCGTTATTTATTTAACTAATATGTAATAAACAGATTTAATTTTCAATTTACTTCATGACTAAAGGATTTTTCGTTATATATGTTGAGAACGAAGAACAGAAGTTGAAAAGTCAAATAAAAGCTTTTTCATTGCGACTAATACGAATACTGAAGAAGTAAAATATACTAAAGGGTAATACTAAACGATATTTTTAAAGAAAATAATTACCTACCTACTTTTATATAATAGATAATGTACCGATTTTTATTAGTATTTGCAGAAGTGTTTTATTAAAATTATAGTAAATTTATAAGTCGCTTTTAAGCCCTATAACTGTGTATAACTGATTTTAAATTCCACTCTGTTTCTTCAATGTTCTCGAATTATTATTCTGTTGACGTAGAAAAAAAGAAGTTTGAAGAAGAATCAATTTTGACTATATTATAATGTTTCCTTTCAAGGTAGCCAAAAAAAGGGCGATCTCGACTTTAGGAAATATAAAACGTACTGTCATATTCCAAAGCAACAGTTAGTAAAGTAAATTTTATATTAGTATATTTAATTTTTATTAAAGAAAAACCAACGGTTTATAAATTTAATAATAAAAAAAAGACAAAAAAAAGCTAATTGCAGGTTTTTAGAAATAAAAACAAGATTTAACTAATACACATGACTTCGCTATTATTATATTAAGTTTGGCTCCAAAAATTTCATTCAAATCAGTTTTTAACAATATGCAATGATAGTGAAAATATTAAATGTTACCTCAATTATACTATAACGAGATTTTTTTATAGATACCTATTACCTACAATCCGTTTCGGGCCTATATGCTGCAAATATAGCACCAAGCCTATTACTGATGATTTTGTCATTGTATACCCTTATGTGGTAGCAGACATGTATATGTGAATTGAGTTTAAATTTCACAGATTGTAGGACGGCAATGAATATTTAAAGATTTCTCGATAAATATGGTGTACATATTTGACGCTAGTAATAGGCACTTAATAAATAAAACACTAGTGTACCTTTAAGCAAAAGGATACTGTAACTCTATATGGTATTTAACTGTAAACCGATTGCATAGAATAAGTAGGTAGGTATATATTGTGAATGTCTCTGGTCCTTCTGTCTATATATGTACCTTTCCGGATAATTTCTGATTGACTGTCCCATATTGTACTTATTTCCAAATGGCACTTGGATGACGTGTCCTGGAATTGTCATTTCAAAAACGCATTTTAAAAATCTTTAGAAAAAAGTAAATGTTTGAACGCAAAACTGAAATGTGTAAAATTAAGTGAACAAGTGACTTAAAATTACATTTATACATTAATGTTATATTGTTAATGTTTTTTTTTACAAGTTTTATTTAGATCAGAGATTTAGATGAAAAATCAAACTGACTGATTGATTCTGACTAATTGATTTTAATTATAAAAAAATGCAATCTGTAGGTATATTTTTCATTACGCATGTACTTAAAGATCGAATCAAGTATCTTGTACAGGATAGCTACTTAAAATTATTCAGTCTCTCGATCCATAGTATATATCGTTTAAGCATGATTGAGTAACAAAGATCTTATAATAAGTTCTTTTAATTTGATCATAAATTTCAGCTGTGAAGAACTCTTAAGAACCTTAATTCGTTTGTCGACAGCGTTTACTATTGTTTTTGTTGCCAAACTGATATAATTGATTGTATTTTTATTAGAAGGTTGGAGTTGCCAAGTTTGGCAATAAAATCACAGGTTTTGTTCTCAGGAATAGCAACATATAAGCATGGTATCATGGAATCACAATGTATTCTATAACTGTAAACTGAAATTATTATCACTTTCCATTAAGCCAATTTGTTTGAAAGTTGTATTATAAAAAAGGACTTAAATACCTATACTTTAGACTGAATACAGTAGTTACAAGTATATACATTAGTCAAACAATCACCATATACTTTTATGGGTACATCGCAAAAGGTGGCACGTGGTAGATCTATATGTCAATAGATTCCATTGAGGATTCCATAATAAACTGACAATCGTGGAGGATTGTAATCTTGCGGTAGTTTGCACAGCTTCAAGTGGGTAAATAATGGTAATTAGATTCTGATGTATCCATGGTTTGAATAGTCAAGTATCTCTGGCCATACTGGGATAGGATGTAGAACGACTGCGTCACGCACGTGCACCTCTTAACACCGTCGCAGCCTCACCACTGCTTACAATGCTACGTTATTCTTTCGACTTTTAGTCCTTTAGAATAATAAGTTCGG